ATCCATTTCTCCTCTATGCCACATCTTTGCACTTCCTACCTTTTTTTGTGTGGACTCTTCTTTCCCTTTAATTATGGGGTTTGTTCTTTCAGTCTTCAGGTTGATTTCTGGGGTATTTAGAATGATTTGATAGTTATCTAGTTGTGTTTGTGGGATGAGACAAGCTTGGGGTCCTCCTAATCCACTGTCATCTTGAAAAATCTCCTCAATAATTGCATTTTTAATGTATTAGTCTCTTAAATCATGAAGAAAATAAGTGTAGTTGTGCACCATTGTTACAATAAATAATACTACCTTTTATAATCGCTCATGTATTAACCTTTACTGAGATCTTTATTTCTTTATATGGCTTCAAGGTACTCTCTATTGTCCTTTCATTTCAACCTGCAAGACTCCCTTTAGCATTTCTTGCAGGGCAGGTCTAGGGGTAATGAACTCTGTCAGCTTTGTTTATCTGGGATTGTCATAATTTCTTTCTCACATTTGAAGGACAATTTTGCTGGATATAGAATTCTTGGTTGACAGGTCTTTTTTCTTAGTATTTTGAATATATCAGTCCACTGTCTTCTGGCCTTACAAAGTTTCTGAAGAGAAATCTGCTTTTAATCTTATTGAGAATCTCTTGTAAGCCTTGTATGTGATGAGTCACTTCTCTCTTGCTACCTTCAAAATTCTTTGTCTTTTGAGAGTTCATTTACCATGTGTCCTGATGTAGCTCTCTTCAAGTAAATCTTACCTAGAGTTCGTTGAGCTTCTTGGATGTTTATATTCATATCTTTCATCAAATTATGAAGTTTTGGGCCATTATTTCTTAAGTATTCTCTCTTCTCCAGAGTTCTGAAATAGTTACACCTGGAAGATTATGCTAGCGCAGTGTTGTCTAGATAGGGGACAGATTTCTGGTGCTTCCTACTCCTCCATCTTCTCAGAATCCTCTTCTTGCCAGCTGATTTTTTGAATGAAGTGCAAAGTCTTTTTGATTGAGAAGAGGTTATCTTTTCAATGAATAATTCTGGAGGAATTGGGTACCTACATACAAAAAAAACTCCAAAAAAAAAACCCCAAAACAAGATGAACCTCAACTTACATCTCACACCTTATACAAAAATTAAATCTAACGGATCATAGACCTACAGGTTAAATATACAATTGTAAAACTTCTGAAAGAAAATATCAGAGAAAATCTTTGTGGTCTTGGGTTAGGCAAAGAGTTCTAGATATGATACTCAAAGCATGATCTGTAAAATAAAATTTGATATATTAGATGTTATAAAAACCAAAATTATAAGTACTGAAGCAGTCTGCAGAGGAAAAGTTAAATTTAGAGTATCTGCTCTTGGGCAAGTTCATGTTCTTGCTCCACCCCATCTGGATGGCCATTCTAGTGTCTATGTCTAAGGAGGTACTCTTTTGCTCACAAAGCACTTAGCATCTAATGTCTCTGGGATGTCAGAAGAGACCAAAGCAATAAGTCAAGAATCACTAGAAACTGTTGTAGGAGCACTGGGCTAGGAGTCAGGGCATTCACAGTCAACTTTGCCTTAATTGTCTGGTGGAGGAGAGAACCCTGTAATGCACACAGTGATGCAAAGCAGAATGACAGAATTGCTGTGGAAAAACTGAAGAAGGAGGAAGAAGGGGTTTGAAGAAGGCATCTCAGGGGGGCAAGCCTCTGAGCTTAGCCTTGAAAGACAAACAGAATGATGACAGGCAGAAATAGATAAACATGGAACAGATGTGAGAGGTATAGGCAAACATTCCCTTATCCTTTATAATTCCAAGATTAAAGTAAAAGGAACACCACTCACTATTCTAAGTGTGCCCACAAGTACATCCAAAAGAGAAACAGGTCACCCAGTTGGAAAAGAAGTAGAGGGAACTTCACAGATAGTGTGGTGCCAAAGCTGAGTTTTGAAAGGTGAGTAGGAGTTAGCAAAAAAGAAGGGCAGACCCGAGCAAAGGCCTGATATGTGGAAGCCAATGCTGGATTGACAAGAGAGTGAATATCCGGGATGCCCTGAGTGTTTGACACCTGGAGGGCCTGGGAAGGGGACCTGTCTGCCACAGGAAAGTGGGGCTCTGTCATAGAGAACTTGGAGGGGCACATCAGAGAGTGGAGAACTGATTCTGATTTTGGGGATCCATGGAAGATTCCCAAGGAGGATGGTGACATATTTCTTCATCTGTGGTCCTTTGGAAAGACAATACTGGAGGCAAAATGGATCAACCAGCCACATTTCAGAGGCAGAAGTTCATTATGATGTAAAATATGAGAAACCTAAACTAGTGCTGTGGACTTGGGAATGAAAGAAAGCAGCTTACTGCAAAAAGACTTTGCACTTCATTCAAAAAATCAGCTGGCAAGAAGGCACGAGACACTGGAGAAGTAGGTACAAACTCAGAGGTGAAGGAGAGCAAAAAGCCTTCCAAAACTCACTGAGTGGGCCACAGTGGCAAAAAATAACTCAAAGAGAAGTTAAAACATTAGCTTGGACACCACAAGTAGTGCTTAGAAACTTTCACGACCATAGTGAGATAATACATCCTTTAAAGTTCACAGACTACTTCTGAGTTCAGCCTGGATTTCTTATCTCCTGCCCCAATCCTTAAACTGGGTTTGATAAAAACTGTGAAGATTTAGCTGGGGACACTGTCATTAGATGGCAGGCATGAATCAGGGGAAAATAACTTCTTAACCGAAAGATCTTAAACATTTTTTGAACACTGCTTTTCTTGTCAATGATTCGTTAAACATAACTCTAATGTAAATTATGGCATATGTTTGCTTTTATCTTCAAGGAATAATATGGAGCCAGATAAATGACAGTAATTTGCCATTTTGCAATAACACTTGAGGGGCAGGGTCCCTGATGCATTCCTTTGATCATTGATGGCTACTGGATACCCCTGTGTGCCAGGCAGTAAACTGGGCACTGGGCAACCAGCATTGACCAAGACCAACATTGTTCCTACCTTCATTTCTAGTGAAGAAGACAGACACAAAACAGGTGTGAAGCGTTCAGGCAATGCCCCCCATTTCCTTCTTAATTTCAAGATTAAAATAAAAGGAACATCCTTGCTATTATAATTATGTCCAAAAGTTCATTCAGATGTAATATATGGTGATTAACATAACAATAAAAAAATTAAAAAAAAAAAGTTCATTCAGAAGAGAGGCTGGTCATCCAGATGAAAAGGAAGCAGACCTTCCCAGATAGTGATGCCAGAGATAGTCTTGAAGAGTGAGTGAGAATTAAAAGAGCAGTGGGGATGTAATATTCTACAATGGGAATATTATTTTTCTATTTTACCTTTTGTTCTAATGTATTTTTCTTTATATTTATTTTACACCATTTAATTGTGTATAAGATTGAAATTTTTTACAAATCCATGGTGAATCGTGTCATTATAGAATGACCTTTTCAATCTTAATTAATAACTTTTTGTCTTAGTCTCTTTGATATTAAAAGTAACTGACTTTGCTTTATTTCGATTAGCATGTGCCTGGAAAATTTTCTTCCATCCCTTTATTTCAAATGTTTCTGTATCTTAATGATTTGCTAAGTTTGGCATAAACAGCAGATAACTAGATTTGTTATTTTTCATCCAAAATGGCAATCTTTGACCTTAACTGGAGAGTTTAACCCATTTATAATTTTTTATTACTGATTATGTGATAAAAGATTAACTTCAAATATGAATTTATTCCTATCTTCTTACATTTTGCTTTCTTTATTTCCTGGGTTTTCTATAAATCTTTTTCTACTCTCTTGACTAAAGAACTTATTTATGTGTTTTTGTTTGTTTGTTTTCCTCATTGCTTAACACATGATTAAAATAATAGAAGATGGTAAAATAGTAATAATATTAAATTATTCAAAATAATTGGAAATGATAAGGGGATCAATTTTCCTGCCATATACAATATTGCAATCATCAATCACTCCAATATATGAAACTTGGTGCTGACGTCAGAAGAGATAAGTGTATCCCTGTGGGCCTGTGATGATGTTCTGCAGAATGGCACACTTACAGAGGTGGTTTCTCTGAAACCGCGATCTTCCAACAGTGGGCAGTACAACAGCTCTGCAGGGGATCTTGAGCAAGCGCAAACCCAACACATTCAAGAAGGGGCGGGGTTAAGGTCGGTACCGGAACCGGAAGTAGCTCCATCAGACTTTTTTCTCTGCATCTGTCACGAGGTTCCTCACGGTTTAGCGCTTCCTTGGCGCAGAGGTAGTTTGAAGAATTTTGACGAGGGACTCTAGGTTCTGTGACTGGAGGAGTGAGTGTGGGGTCATCGAAGGGAATTTGGGGGTTATTAATGGGAGTCTTTGGAGTCGGGATAGCGACTTGTTCTAATGTGAGTTGAATATTCATATCACCAATTTCTGTCTTTCTTTTCTCATATTTTCATCTTAAAGTTCCACAGCTGGGTATGTATTTTTCTTGGTCTTTTAGGTTCTGAGTTTTTTCTAACTGTAGTTATTTTTCTTTTTACCAAGAGTTACTTAGAAGTGCATTTTCAGTTTTAAAAAGTTAAACCTTTTATTAATTTCTAATGCAACTTATCTGTGCCTTATGTGATACTTATTCCTTGGAATGTGTTTAGACTTCCATTAAGGCTGATTCCGGGGTCAGTTTTTATTAATATTGCATCTCTAGCTCAAAAATAGTAGCAGTTCTCCAACTGATAATTGTCTTAATCAAAAGTGTATATTCTTTCAGTGTGTGTACCTGCTCTTTCAATCACTGAGATTGATTTGTTAGTGTGTGAGCATATATATATATACACACGTGCATTTTTAAAACTTTTGTATATTTATATATTTTACTTGGTGTCACTGGATATAGGTAGGAGTACTTTTCAGAATAACGATCATCAAATTATCCTAGGTGAGTCAGGGCAGACAGGGCATGACCTAGCATGTGCACGTGGGGAGTGGGGGTGGGTGGGGCTTGGCATGGCTTAGCAAGTGGGAGGTAAGGCAGAACCGGATATGTATGGGAAGTGGGGAGAAGCATATGAGGCTGAGAGAGTCTGGGAAGAGGACAGGGCCTTGCAAGCGGGCAGGGCTAGGTATGCCTTGGTGCAGTGTATGGGACCCACAGGGCTGGGAGTGTAAGGTGAGACAGAATGTGTCCAAGGCAGAAGTCTGGCAGGCATTTCTTGGAGAGACTAGGTGGACTGGGTGGGGCAGACGGGTGGGCGGAGCATCCTGAGGGGTGGGGTCATGCACGTTTGGGTGGGCTAGGCAGAGTTGGTTTGTCTGGGTCCATGGTGCAGGGTAAACAGGATAGCAAGTGTGTCCTGAAGGGTGGGGCAGGCTGAGTCGACCAAGGAGGGTAAGGGTGTGTAGTCTAGCTTTTTTGAGCAGATGGGCAGGGTCTTATGCATTCAGGTGGGCAGAGTGGGTTGAGATGGACCACCCAAGTGTGTCTGGATAAGTGGGCAAGCAGGGCCAAGTGGTGCCAGTCAGTCCCAGGCCGGATGGCCAGAAGGTGGGACCAGGAGTGGTGGGACAGGTCAAGTCTGGTCCCACTCATTTGGTGCCAACCCAGAACCCTCCTCCCACCAGCACAGGAACCCTACTTGTAATCCCTGGTCTCTGGTAAGTCCAGGACACAGGGTGGATGGGGGAGTGGAGCTGGTGCAAGGGTTTTCCCTTCAGCTCTTGCTCGCCATACCCTCAAAGACCTTGCCATAGTGACACTGGCCACTGCCCATTCGGTCACAGCTGCCTGCTGTGGACTGCAGAAGTCCAGGCTGTCCCAGATGCTGGCAGTGCCATTGGCAGCAAAGGAGGCCTCTCTGACAACAGCTACACCCCAGCTGTTGTCTGAAAAGGACCTGCCTCAGGGCCAAAACCTGTGCCGGGGCTTTTGCATAGGGGACTTTTGACAAAGCCTGATGAGGGTATGTCAGGGACCCTGGGTGGAAAGAAGTGGACAGTGAAGGCAGAGAGGGTCATCAGTGAGGAGAACAAAGGCAAGGTGTGTCCCAACATCATTTACAAAACGATTTGGGAAGACCGGCTGGCATTTTCCTGGCCTACAGCCCTGGATGAGTGAAACTGAGGAGTTCCTGGATCGTGCGCTGCAGAAACCAGCAGTGAATGTGAAGAAAATGGAGAATTTGAAGATAAAGGTGGAGTGGAAGGTGACAGAAATGGTGGAATGAGGCGGGGCAGGAAGACGGGTCAGGAATGGAATACAGGGCAAGGGTACAAGGTTAGGAAGATGACAAGCTGACATTAACTCCCCTATCCCTGCCTTGACCACTCTTGTCCCACAGAAAGAGAAGAAGCAGAAGCAAAAGCTCACGGAAAAGTGGAAACACAGAGACAAGACAGATGCCAAGGGTCTAGCCTTGCTGCGGCAGTGCCTGGGACCTGGCTGTGTGTATCCCACCCGGCCAGGCTCCAAGTACTGCTCAGACGACTGTGGCATGAAACTGGCAGCTGAGTGAGTGAAGCTAAGCAACAGGGTGTGGAGTAGGGCATGATTTATGCCATCCAAAAGTCTATTTATCCCTCTTCCCATGTATCCTCCCATCACTCAGCCAGCCACCCACCCACCCATCCACCTTACAGCCACCCACCCACTGAACACCCTCCATACACGTTCTACCCACCAACCCACTCATCCACCCTTACAGTCATTCACCCATCCATCCATCCCCCATTCAACCACCCATTCACCGGCATTCACTCATCTACTATTCATTATTCTATACATTCACCATTCGGTCACTCATCAATTTCTTCTTTTGATGTCCCATTACATTTCTTGCTGTCTCCCTTTCCAGCCGCATCTATGCGATTCTGCCCCAGCGCATCCAGCAGTGGCAGAAGAGCCCCTGCATTGCTGAGGAGCATGGCAAAAAAATGCTTGAGCGCATCCACCGTGAGCAGCAGGACACTCACACCCGCCTGAAGGACATGGAGTGCCATTTCCATGAACTTGAGGCCATAATTCTGCGTGGCAAGCAGCAGGCTGTGTGCAAGGTTGAAGAGGTGAATGGGAATGGGTGGGGTGCAGCAGAAAGGTATTTGAAATCTTGCATCTTGCCCTGTCCTTCCCCCCTCTACTGCTTCACTGGCCCTTCCACTGTCCTGTGCAGACCAACAAAAGTAGCAGTAACAACGTAAACCTGCAGATCTTCTGTGTCTCCTGTGGGCAGTCAGTCAGCATGCATACTGCCCTGCGCCACATGGAAAGCTGTTTTGCCAAGGTTGGGGAATTGGCTGGGGGCAGATGGGGCAAAGGTGTTTTTGGCTGGGTGGAATCAGTGGGAAGGAGGGTAGGTTTGGTGCCTGGGTGTTTGTTGTAGAAAGGAATGCAACACACATCCATAGTTCTACCCGTTTATGCTTCTCTTCTATCCTTAGTATGAGGGCCAACATTGGAGTATCAGCCAATGGTGAGGGGGGACACCGGCTGGCCAGGCAGGCGTATAGGAGCCACAGGGACAAATGCGTTGCTTGGGGCTTTGTCATGGGAAGGCATGCTGTGTACATCCACAGTTCCTTCCATTTGTACCCTTTCTTCCCAGTATGAGTGCAGGTCGTCCTTCGGGTCCCTGTACCCCACTTGCATTGAAGGGTGAGTGTGGGTGCTAGTCAAGGTGAAAGGCATGATGTGGACAGGGTCAGGAGCAGGGCGGGCAAGATCAGGGGCAAGATGTGGGTGGGCTCAGAGGCAGAGGTGTGTGCATTAGGGGCAGGGTATGGGTGCTGTTAGGGACAAAATATGGGCAGGGGTTCAGGGTGGGACCCCCCTTTTCTGACCCTTAGCACTTCACTTTCCACCTCCTCTCAGGGCCACAAGGCTCTTCTGTGATGTTTACAACCCAAAGAGTAAGAGGTACTGTAAACGGCTCCAGGTGCTGTGCCCTGAGCACTCAAGAGATACCAAGGTGACTCTTCCTTCTTTACCTCATCATCCTTCATTCATCCCCTGCTCCCTGCCTGACCGCCATATTCCTCTCTTCCTCTCTGCTTGATTGCCTCCTATTTCTTTCTTCCCTCTGCCTGACTGCCTTCATAACTCCTGACCAGCCCTCATGTGTCCCCTTCTCCCTTCCTGACCACCCCACATTCCCCCCTCCTTACTGGCCGATTACCTTCTATTCCCTGCTTTCTCTCTGCCTGACTTACCCCCCACCCCCCTGCATTTCTCTCTCCCTCCCTCTTTTGCTCCTCACCGCATAACCATTCCCCATTCTGCTCTTCTCCTTGCTTGACCATTGTACATTCCTTTCCCACTCCTTGCCTGACTGCTCCACATTCCTCTCTTCCTCCCTCTCTTCCTCCCTCTCGGACTTCCCTCCATTCTTCGGCCGGTCTCACAGTCATCTTCTCCCTGCTTGTCATCTCCTAAATCCTTTCTTTCTCCCTATCCCTAACCAGCCTATCTCCCTCCCTAACCAGCCCCTATCCCTCCCACCCTCCCTTCCTCACTTCTTCCATGCTTTACCGGGCCTCTTTCATCTACTGCTCTCAGACCTCCCCTCCATCCTTCCTCCCACTCCTGTTTGATCTCTTTATGTTCTTCTGCCTTCCCTGCCTGATCACCTCCGTGCCTCCATTCCTGCTTATTTAACTTCTTTCATGCTCCATGCAAGGTCACCCCCCCCTTCTGCCTCCTCTTCTCTACCTCATCCCTGAATTCCTCTCTTCCCCCCCTGCCGGCTCACTCCCCATTCTCCTCCTTCCTGCCCAACTGCCTTCCGTCCTCCATTCCTCTCAGAGTGCCTGCCTGATCACTCCAGATTTCTGCCCTCCTCCATGCCACGTCATCCTTCATTCTTCCTCACAGATACCAGACGATGAGGTGTGCGGTTGCCCACTAGTGCACAATGTCTTTGAGGTCACTGGTAACTTCTGTTGTCTCCCCAAACGCCTATGCAACCTCCACTACTGCTGGGAGAAGCTGAGGCGTGCCGAGGTGGACCTAGAGCGCATTCGTGCGGTAGGCTACGGTGCTGATTGGGGCTGAAGTGGGGCTGGCCTCCTGGAGTCCCCCTCTCACACTCACCTCCCACAGTTGCACAAGCTGGAAGAGCTAGTTGAGCAGGAGCACAAGGTGCGCACGGCCATGATGAACCGGGCAGGGCTGCTGGCCCTGATGCTTCACCAGACGATCCAGCATGACCCGCTCACCGCTGACCTGCGCTCCAAAGTCAACAGCTGAGCCCTGCGTGCCTGAGATCCTGTACCCAACACCCTGTGCAAGGGAGACGTTCAATGAATTCTTCACACCCTTGTTCCTATAACCACTTCCCCCCCCCCCTTAGGTCATCTTAGAGTTTCTCTGTGCTTCTCTGTTCACCATTTGTTCTCCTGCCTCTGTTAACCCCTCCATGGGAAGGGGGCCTCAGAATTCCCCTCTGTGTCCATCCCTTCTTCCATCCGTCTGTCTTTTTCTTCCCTGAACCTTGGCAGGGCCAGGGGATCTGCCCTGCCCTCATCCCCCACCGTCCAGAGTTTTGTTAACAAACTTTGGAAGAACAAGGAATTTTAATATCCGTTCCCCCCACCCCAGACCTGTTCTTCTGGCCACAGACCTGATTTCGGACCTTTAATGGTGGTGGGTGACAGTGCAACTGTACTTAGGGGGAGGCCACTGTGCACATGCAGAAGTGGCTGTGAAGTGATGCCCACTTCGGGCTCGGCGGGCTTTCTTCTGTTGGGGGAGACATGACCTTGTAGAGGAGGGGCCAATGACCCTTGCTCCCTGCCGTCCCTTATCCTAGGCCATCACATATGTAGTTGACACCTGATTAGCGCACAGCCAATTCATCAACTTCTGTACAATTATTACTATTCCGCAGGCCAGAGGCGTTAGAAAAATGGGATGGGAGCTAGGTGAGTGTGGGATAGTCCTCCGTGAGAATTCCACTTTGGGGCACTGAGTCACGCCCCTGCCCCTGCCCATCTTGTTCCACCCCCTTGCCATCCCGTGAGGTCCCAGCTCTTTCTGTCAGCCTTGGTCCCTGCCGCAGTCCAGTCCCTGTCTGTCCATCTCCCTCCTCCCTACACCTCCCAGCACTGCCCATCACATCCTCTCTTGCCCCCGCCACCCCCCCCGACCACACTGCTCTGGGTCTGTCCTTTCCAGCCTGCCCTGTACATTGAAGCCCCATGTGGTCACGAACATTTCATACCTGTAGGGCTGCCAGAAGCAGCCTGGGACCTCTGCCATAGCTGCTTTGATCAGGCCCCCAGCCAGGCCTCCTGTGCCATGGAGGTGTGTCCAGTAACGCTGCTTGTGGGTACTGATATGTTTGAAACGACAGACTTGAACACTTGTCCTATTTTTTTCTCTACTCCCTGGTCCCTTGTGGATTTTTTTCAAGAATTTATAATTACTTTTTTTCCCAGGGACTCACACATTTTACCTAAATGGTTAGGTATGCTGTTCGAGACTTATACCTCATATTCCACCATGCTCAATTGATACTCCCACCTACCTGACGCGATGTCTCCTTTTTTTATTACTAATATTGTATTTTAATTTTGATCAGATTTTCCAGGGCTAATCCATATAATTAATTATATGAAAGGACTAGCTTTTTAATTTATTTTATTCCCTAGCTTTATATTTATTTTATTTATTTTAACTTTCATTTTTATTAATTGCCACTTCTTGATTTTTGTGTTTGGTGTTTCATTCTCATATATTTACTGGATTTTGTTGTTCTTTTTCTGATCTCTTGAATCAGATTCTTAACTCAGTTATTTTTTTTTCAATCTTTTTTTACATATATAGTAGAGGATTTGAGGCTATACACTTTCCTCTAAATGTGGTTATTATATCTCCTAAACTCTGGTATGAAAGGTGCGACTTCGGAATTGGTTTCTCACTTTGATCCTAGCTACAGAGGAAAGTTTCTTAAGTTTCTAACTAGTTTGATTGTCTTTTCTTTCTTTTTTTGTAATTATGATTTTACTATGATCAGAGAATGTAGCCTGTTGAATCTGAACTGGTAAACATTATTCAAGATTTTCTCTGTAGCTCAGATACTCCACTGAACTATAAAACTTTCATGGATATAAGAGAAGAAAATATATTCTCTGTTAGGTACAGATTACTCATGGTTACGGCTTTCAATCTAGTTTGATGATTGATGTTTCTTTACTCTGATTTTTTTTGTCTATGTCAGCTGTTATATTACAAAAAAGATAGAATACACGCAACTAATGAATTGTTGAACACAACATCAAAAACAAACGACGTATTTATTATATGATGGCTAATTGAACATAATAAAAATAAAAATAAAACAGATAGAATAAATGCAGTAATATTTTAAAATAAATTTCTCCTTGTGGTTCTGTAGTTTTTGGGGGGGAGGGGCATCCTAAAGTGTATATCTTAGGCCATTTTGCACAATGGCATTAGGTATTCTCCTTGTTTTGTCTTTTTTTTTGGTTTCCTTTTTTGTTTGTTTCCTTGTTTGAGTGCTTTTGACTTTGAATTTATTTTGATAAGTACATCACCACTGCTGCTTTCCTTTTGCTGCCACTCACCTTGTGTATCTTTGCCTAAATCTTTATTTTGTGTTTTTATTTTTAAGATACACTTCTTGTAACTGTATATGTTTTTTGCCCTAATCCCACATTATGTCTTGAGATTCAGTCCATTTAAATTTGTATAATTATGATAATCTTCTCTTTCTCATCTTATGCTTATTATTGATTTTACTATTTCCTAAATACAACTTTTATCCTTTTCTTCTTCTTAATAGCTCAATGAAGTTTCTGTTCATTTTTGTCCCTCCCCCTTACCTCATTAGTTTGGAAATTTTTATTCTTACTAATTGTTCATTATATACATTTTTACTTCTAACAGACATGATTTAATTTGTTTTCTCTGTTATTTGATCAGAATATAATTAGACCTTTCTTTGTAAGGGAAATTGCTCTCTCCTCCATATTTGTCTCAGCAAGATGAAGAATATCATTTCTGGATTTTTCCAGAGAAATTTAAGGTGCTTATTTGGAGACTATATTTTTCTGAGGCTAAGTCAATTCTGCTTCAAGAAAACCTCCTTCACATTTTAATCCAAAATCCCCAGTCATATCATCATAATTTAACTATAGCTATATGAATGTATACCCAAGGGCGTGTATTTTTTTTTTTTTACCCAAGGGCGTGTATTTTACAAGAGTCATTGCTAACCATTGTTTTGTTCTCTTATTTTGAGATCTATCTCCTGATTTAGTATTCATTTATTTAGAATACTTCCTTTAGTGCTTTCCACAAATAGAGTAAGTTCGTGGAATACTCTTAAAGATTTCATGTCTGAAACTGTCATTCTTTTGCACTGACTAAGGAATGGTATTTTGGGAAGGGGTATAGGATCTCTGCATTGGAGTCCTTATTTCTCCATCGTCTATGGGAAGTAAGTAGATTCCAGGATGGCCTCCAATGATTCATGCTTCCTGATATTCATGGCCTGTGTAATCCCCTTCACTTAAGTAACACTTCTAACCAATAGCATGCCTTAAAATTGAGGACATACCACCTTTGTGATTAGATTACAAGAGATGGTGGCTTTTGTCTTGCTAACAGGCTTTTTCTTTTTTTTTAAAGATTTTATTTAATTGACAGAGATAGAGAGAGGGAGAGCACAAGCAGGTGGAGTGGCGGGCAGAGGGAGAGGGAGAAGCAGGCTCCCCGCTGAGGAAGGAGCCTGATGTGGGACTCGGTCCCAGGACCCTGGGATCATGACCTGAGCCAAAGGCAGCCGCTTAACCGACTGAGCCACCCGGGCACCCCAATTGCTAACCAGTTTTCTTCCTTGTTGGCTTCGGTGAAGCAACTTGACATGTTGGAAAGGCCTGTCTGGCAGAGAACTGAAGGTGGCCTCCAACCATCAGTAAGAAACTGAGGCTCGTGGTCCAAAAACCCAAAGGAACCACATAAATGAGCTTGGAAGCAGATCATTCCCCAGTTGAGCCTTTAGATGTGTTCCTAAGCCTGGCTGCCACCTCATTTATGGCCACATGAAAGGACCTGAAACAGGACCAAGCTAAGCTGTGCTCAGATTCCTGACCCACCAAAGCTATGAAATAAGTGCTTGTTGACTTAGATCACTATGTCTGTGGGGATGTGGAGCCATATTATTAGGCCCCGAGGGCCAGTGATTTTGTGAAGGACACTGCTTTGGTTTCTGGAGTGGGAGCCATAACATCCTTCAGGAATGGTCAGTGTTTGAGCTCTCCATAAGTCAGTTTTAGAAACTGTGTAGGTCCGTGAGTGGCAGTCTGGGAAGACTGATGATTGGAAGCCTGCTGGGGGTGTGGCACAGGCGTGCCTGTGTTGGGCATTATGTGAAGTTCCTGTGGAAAGCAGATAAGGGCTGTCTCTCACATGTAGTGATTTGCCATCACTGGATTAATGATATGAGGAGCCTGGGACACGCCAGTAGTTGGGGACTTTGAAGTGTCCTCTGGCAGTCCCTGCGGTCCAGCCATGGGTGGCTTCTGCTGGTTGGTAAATGATTGGCAGCAAGAGGAGTCGGGCATGGTCCCAGGGATGGGGACCCGAGGTGACCAAAGATCAATGGTCCGGAGTTGGTCGGTCGCTGGGGGACCTAGGTGATCCACGCCTGGTTTCCAGTGTCCACGAAGGGGGTGCGGAGGGTGAGTTTGAGTTTTCATCTCTGTCAGAAGAGAGAGGGCCATGGAGATTGCCCTGGATGTGCACCGAAATATGCAAAAGCTCAGTTTATGTGCCTGAGATGTTGTCACTCCTCAGCTTGAGTGCTTTGAAGACAATAGAAAATAGGACTATCGTATATTGGGAACTGACCCTGTATGGGATTCAGTATCACAGGGTGTGGACACTTTGGAGTCAGCTGGCCTTGGCTTAAATATTTCCCTATCCTTCCATTTGCTAGCGGTGTGACCCTGGGGCAAATGACCTAGCACTGCTGTACTTGAGCTGCTTCCCCTGTGCCTAATGATAATCATTGTCCTCTAGCTGGCAGGGTTGCAGTGAAAATTGAATGAAATACTTAGTATTGGTCACCAGGGCCTTAGGGCAGGGGCAGGTGAGTTGCCGAAGCAGCAGATTCTGGGCCTGCTGCCCCCCGGGACAGCTCACCACCCTCCTGCAGAGAGTGAGCACCATGTGGCTGATGTCCCACATCCAGAGCCTTGTGTGTTTCAGTGGACAACGTGATC